CAACTGATAATTCTGGTAACCACCCTGCATCCTGTTTCAAAACACTATGAAACAAAAACCTAAAAAGCACCACGTCTTACTTTTCTTTCCTTCCAAGCAGTGAGCACAGCTTATAATTTATTCACTTTTTCTTTTTTTTTTTTTTTTTTAGCTTTTTGGCTTGCCTTTCCTTGTTGGCCTTGTTGTTCCTAATCTAGTAGTGGCAGGAAACACATTGGGCTGTGTGTGTGTGTGTGTGTGTGTGTGTGTGTGTGTGTATACACACTACAAACACACCATTGTGGTCCCATCTTTTTGTATGTACTTGAAAAACATTTAGCCATAATTGTTAATATGATTACTCAGAAAGAAACATTTATGGAACATTCAAATGAGGCAAGGGAATAGATAGTTCTAAATATTCTGAAAATTGTGCCATTCAAGACCATGCTTTCAAATAAAATTAAAAAAAAATAAACTGCTTGCATCTGAAAAAAAAAAAGACCATGCTTTCATGAATACATAGATACGATATGCAAGTGCCCTGTCTTCAGATGGTGTGACGCAAGCCCAGTGTCCTCTTCGTCCCAGCCCCCACTCTTGTTTCTCCTTATCAGCATCATCAAGGAAGGACAGTTGATATAAGATCACTTCTTCAGAAGCTGATCCTGCAGACCAATTCCTGGTTTAAAATACTCATTGACATTGTTCTATTCTCCCAGTTATTTCAAATAATGGGAGTACTTTTGTTTTATAACCAGGTACTAGAAAATGTCCCCTGGTGATGAAGGAATAGGATCCAAGTGAAGACTGTTGTTATTTGCACCTTCCCCAGAATACCCACATGGTTTGAGATGGTTTTGGACTTACAGGTAAGTTGTGAAGCCGGCATAGGCTTGACTTCAGCCTGCCTCACCGATGCTACTATCTCCACAATCCTGGTTTTGGTCCATTTTAAAAACCGTAACTTCACAAATGAGTAATATGCTTTAATCATATCCCCCCATAATTAGCCTCACTTACTACCCTCCCCACCCCACCATCCTACTTCCGGGCATATGGGGACCAGTGGACAGCTTTTGGAAGTGGAGTCCGGGATTGAACTCTGATTCCCACATGCTGGGATTACAGATACTGGCTTAAACCTCCATGTGTTGGTAATTTTAGACATACATCACCATACGAGCAAATAAAAGTCCTTAGGGAGATGGGGCTAGACAGTGGCTCCCAAGAGCACTTGTCGCGTTTCAGAGGACCTGGGTCCATTCCCAGCACCCATATGGTGGCTCACAAACATCTGTAACTAAGGTTCCATAGGATCTAAACTTGCATGGGAGATCTCTTCTCACCTCTACAGGCTCGTGCACAAGCAGTGCATGGAGCAGTACCTTTAATCCCAGCACTCATGAAGAAGTGAAGACAGAAGGCTCTCTGGGTTTGGGACCAATCTAGTCTAGTCTATATAGCAAGTTCTAGGCTAGCCAAGGCCACACATGCTGAAACACTGCCTAAAGGGAGCTACTTAGGAGGAGTGGGAGGGACACAGAAATGGGAGGGTGAGTTCATGTATGGCATGTTATAAGGAGGTCGATGGGGATGCTCCAGTTGGGCAAATCGCTTACTGGGCAAGCATGAGGACCAGCATTCAGGACCCCAACACCACTTGTAACATCTCTCCCCAGTGCTGGGAGGTGGAGCCAGGGGCTTAGTTGATGTTCAATAAGAGGCCTTGTCTGGAAAATAAACTGTAAGAGTTGAGAAAGACTCAACAGGGACTTCTGGCCTCTGCAGATGTATGTGCATTTACATAATGGAGAATCATAATGCATTATGTACAATTAATATGTCAATGAACATTTTAAAAGATTAATATACATAAAAAATAGAACCCAATCAGAACAAAGCCAGGCATGGTTGCTCACACCTTTAATCTCAGCACTTAGTAGGCAGAGGCAGGGGGGTCTTTTTGAGTTAGAGGCC